GTGGTGGCCTCGGGCAGTGGATCTGTGGTTGACAACTGCTGGTGGCTGCTTCTTCCACCATCTTGCAGTAGCACAAGTAGTAGCAGCAGCAGCAGCAGCAGCAGCAGCAGCAGCACCATCATCATCATCATCATCAGCCGCCGCCGCCGCCGCTGCCGCCACCGCCGCCGCTGCCGCAGCAGCAGCAGCGGCAGCAGCAGCAGCCGCAGCATCAGCAGCAGCATCAGCAGCAGCAGCCGCCGCCGCCGCCGCAGCCGCAGCAGCAGCGCCACCAAACAGCAGGCGTGCCTTCTTGTTTGGGTATTCCTTCCGTCGTGGCATCATCATTGCTGGTGGCTGTCGTGTTGGCGGCTTGATTGTTGTTATGATGGTTGCAGGCGGGGTGGTGGGCAGGGTTTCAGCATTATGAATGGTGGAGATGATGTGCTGCTGCTGCTGCTGCTGCTGTGGTGGTGGCGGTGGTGGCAGCGACGGTTTGGAGGGGCTTGCTGCTGCTAGTCTACTTCTTTCTGCTCCTACTCCTACTCCTGCTCCTGCTCCTCCGCCTCGATCTTTATCCAGCATCATCTCCTGCTCCTGCTCCTCCTCCACAGCAGTGCGGCTGCTCTCCACCTCTCAGCCTGAATCTCCTCCTCCTGCTCCCAAACCTCTTCCTCCTCTTCCCCCTCCCGCCAGCACTCTATAATAATAGCACGTGCCGCCTCACGTACGTCTTGCTTTTCCTGCTTCTTCCTGCAGCATGCAGAAAAAAAACGATATATTATTATATATACATTAAAAAACACATTTTCTTGTTTCAATTCAACAATGATTGTTATTATGAATAAACCAAAAGATGAGCTGCACAAGTTGGTAATATAACATCACCAAACAACCCTGACCGCATCCAGTTGTTGAATCTGCCGTGACTTGAACCCACGATCACCAATTGCGCATACGCACTGCAAATTATTGAGTCTTCTTAGCACTTATTAGGCTCACTCACCACTCCTCTCCGGGAGTAGCCGACTCGGAGCGGGCAGCGTTAGTCTATATCCTACAACTTTCTTGTAAATCGCCCTTACTGCCGGCGTGTCCTTTCGAGGACGCTAAAGCTGTTTCTTTGTGCTTTTGTTGCGGTGTATTGATTGGTGTTTGTCTTGTTCCGTGGCTCGCGCGCATTAGACACATGTCTGCTTCTGCTTCTTCGCGGCTTGTTTTCTACTTGGCGCCTGCTCCATAAATAAAATTTTAAAAACGTCCTGATAGCTCTCGCTGTGACGGTCTCATTTCAATTGTCTGTTTGTCGTCGGCGAGCGGTGAGAAGTAGGGGCGGCGCACTTTATTACTAATAATAATGACGTATAGTACGACAAAGCACACTTGAGCAGCACGGCTGCTGTGCTTCTTCTTTTGCGGTTTCCGTCGTCGTTGTTGTTGTTGTTGTTGTTGTTGTTGTACCGATTATTATTTTGTTGTTGTTACATTCATTATTGTTGACCCTAAGTATTCAAGTAAAATATATAATGCATGTGCCGCAGAACAACATGATGATGAATGATGATGCTATGTGCCCGCTTCCACTCCCGTACTTATACTTATTACTTTTCTTATTACTACTACTAATTGTAAAAACTTTGAGCGACTCTTCCCGGCAATTTTTATAACGATGACGACGACGACGACGAGGAGGACGAGGACGAGGACGAGGATTGACGACCAGACACCACCACCAGCGAGCGCGATCGCATCGCATATTATTATATTCTTATTCTGATCATCACAGAGCACAGCAGAGGCGGCACAGCAAAGTTTTAGTGGTGGTGGATCATCGGCGTGTTGTGCACGCGGCATTGTGTTGTGCACGCGGCGAGATTGTTGTTGGTGGTATACCGTTAGGGTTATTATTATTATTATTTTACATATGTGCCAAATCGTGCCAAGTTGATACAGCAGCATTGTTTGATTGTGTTGGTGTATATATGCATATAGAGAGATCGTGTGTCCGACGAGAAGGGAAAAGGGAGCATACACAACAACAACATGTACAACTATACGTGGGTGCATCGCCACACCGTCGTGCATGCGCGTGTCCCATAATATCCACATACCCGCGGAGCCATCATATGCTGCGTATGTGTACTACTACTAATAAAGTAGTATCACGTACAGTACGACATGTACAACAACCCAACAGACAGACCAACAACATACATCGCAAGTGCAGTGCGCGGATATACATACATACACACACCCACAGTCTAAGAATTTAATAAAAACTCTCCCACAGTCTCCCTCGACAGTCATCCGCTCAGTCGCCGTCTGTATCTGTATCTGCTGTCCCCATCGCCATCGTCTCCCTGTGCCTGTCCCTCCCTCCATCATATATGTATGTTCTCTAGGTATATAATATCCTTGTGTACAACAGAGTGTGCACGTGTGCCGTCATCATCAACGTATATAAGATACAGCATACGTGTCTGCACCACATATATATACATATGTACGTGTGCACATCTCTGAGCAGCCCTGTGCATGGTCTCCGCTTGATAATAGATGAGGTTGTTATCATCACCTAGTTCATACATACATACAAAATGCATACCCTGCTCTGTGAAGATGACAAAAAAGAGGTATAGGTATAGGTACAACTACTACTACTACTACTACTACCACTACTATCTGGATTCTTTTGCCTGGGTGGCTGGCAATAATAATTATATATTTCAAAGTTACTCTGCTGCGGCCGCCATATGTATTATATAGCATCATGGAGGGATGTTTCGCTTCATTCAGGGTTCATTACTATCAATCATTGCTATGTGTGCTAGGGAGCTGAACAGGACTACACATTTGTGCTGCTGCTGCTGCTGCTGCTGCTTCTGCTGATACACAATAGCTGCCAACTGTGCGGGATATGTGCGTGCGCGGGATATGTGCGTGTGCGGGATATGTGCGTGTGCGGGATATGTGCGCGTGCGTGCGTGCACACACACACACGCACGCACGCATGCATGCATGGGGGTGAG